ATTAAAGGGTCAAAATCACAAAAATTAAGACAACGGGGGAAAAAAAAAATCAAATTCTTACCTGCATCTGCTTTATCTTTTTCAATAAAGAGATTTAAGTAAGTCTTTTCACTTGAAGATTTTTCAACCAAAATCTAAAATAGAATCAACATAAAGACTATTAGAATATTATTCTGTATTTTATTTGGAAAAAAAAATTGGAAATACTGATCATCAGTTCAAACTTTAAACTTTTTTCTTTCATAAAGAGCTGGTTCTTGTTTACACATGCCATTCCTAAATATATTTTGCTTATTCATTACTTATGGCAACAAAAGTGTCCCTTTAATCTGTTTATTCAAACTAGAAGATATGTTCAAAACACAAGAATGTTTACATTTTGATATTTGGAAGAAAGAAAAAAACAACAAGAAGTTCTGAGAACAAAAAGTTTTCAGCAAAATTAGAATAGAAAAATTACTGTACCTTTGTTAGCAAGGTTTGTTTTGATGGTATGTGAATAAGATGGAAATTGCCACTTCTCTCACCGACGACAAGAAAGTGTTTTTCTTGACACATACCAACTACATCCACATTAGTATCTGAAAAGTTCCATGGCAAAATGTCGAATATTAAGATTTGGTTTTTATTAATAGACATTCATATTTGAAACACAGGAACTGGACATTACAATGTCCCAGATTTCTTCAAGATGATTTATTTTTATTAAACAAGGTACAGGAAAGGGCATACAGGGAGTGGTTTTGGTATCCATTATTCCTATTTCAGTGAAAAGTTAGCAAGCATTCTAATTAAATTGTACAGAAATACTTAGTTAATTGTATACAGAATCAGCAATCACTTTTTACTATGTAGGTATTTATTATAATACTTCCTTTTACAGGCTAGTTAGATATGCAAGATATTTGCTATATTTTCCTATACAAACCTAACATATATATTTTAAAAGTCAGTCTTAATTTCCAGTGGAGTTCCAAAGGAAATGAACTCACCAAACTGAATGTGCATCTGAAGAGACTGCCCAGTACTATCAAGAAGCGCCACCGATCTGTCAACAACAATAATACTGCCATCCCTTGAGTTGCATGCATACAACTGCGGATTAACGGACACCTAAGAAGAAAAAGGTCATTATATATAATAACTGAAACACTTTAGAAAATAGGACAAAGAAGATCTGATAACTATTAAGAAAAGCATAGCTTTGATGAACGCTACCTTTTCTGAAGATGTGATTTGCAGTAGCGTATCCACTTGGTACAATGCAGTTCCACATTCGTGTCCTAAACCTACAGGGAGCTGCTCACTCCCTGTGTCGTCATTTGCAAGAAGTTCAATATCATTCCACATGTTTACCTATAATAAACATTTAAGGAATATGCTGTAAAGCAGAGAGCTTTAAAAGTTATATGACCACACACACAAATTATTGATTTAATTATTCTATCGCGATTCTGCGCCTGTGTAGGTAGTACAATAAGCCTCCTAAAGGCGAATTGCGTGTTTAGAAAAGACAAAGCTAAGTCGCAAGAGCAATGTGGCGCCCAGCTGATGTCCCCAGCGGGCCCGACTGAACTCAGCTTGGCAAGGACAGGTTTCGCGCCAGGGGGTGAAGGAAATTCAGTGCCAGAGAGCCCTCCCCGCCACGCAGCGGACACCCCTGCCCACAGAGACCACGAGCTGTCCCCTCATCCCCTCACCGCGGCCCCAAAGACCGGTGACAAACCATTACAGCGCTACCTCAGGCTTTCAAATTGGCGGGAGCCCTGGGTAACGCTACGGGGCGCAACGTGGGACAAACTTCCTCCAAAGGCGAACGGCACCGTTGCTAAGACACCGCCGAATCCTTCCCCGCCCCCAGAATGCACCGCGGCTCCCTCCCTCCCCGCCG